ATCTATCCGTCTATCTATCTGTCTATCTATCTGTCTATCTATCTATTTGTCTATCTATGTATCGAGGGGGGCTTGTGACCTTAACAATACTATCCTCTTACAGTGTGTCCGAAAACATGCCCCAGAGCCTCAGTTTTACTTCTTATCTATCTACCTGTCTATCTATCTATCTAGCTAGCTAGCTATCTACATATGTTCAGCGCATGTACCTGTATACCCAAGCCGAAAGACCTCAAGAACTCCCTCGGCTACTCATGAAGCAGACAACTAAGGCGAGCTCTGCAGGCTTGCAGCCCGCCGCGGAGCTGGTTAGAATGACCTAATCCCTAACCTCTATATACCCTACCCTACCCCTAAACCCTAGCACCCTAACACCCCGAAACCCCCACCTTAACACCCTAAACCCTACATACCCTAACCCCCTGACCTCTATACCCTCAGCTCCCAGGACATCGTTACCTTCAACACTTCCATCAGCACTTGCGAGCGAGCTGGCGAGTGGCAAGCAGCCTCGCCACTTCGCTTGACGAGGTTGTTGAGGGCTTCGGGAAAAGTTTAGGGGTTTAGGGGGGTCTGAACCCTAAACCCTAAACCCTAGAACTGTCGGGTTGAGTGTGTACGGTTTAGGGTTTAAGGTTTAGGGCCAGTTTAGGGTTTAGGGTTGAGTGTGTACGGTTTAGGGTAGTCCCGAAGACCCCATAAAGACAAGTTATGACCTCATACTTCTAGGGCATAGCCCCTGGAGCCTAAACCCTAAACCCTAAACCCTAAACCAGGATTTGTTCTTAGATCCGCAGGTAGGGTGTGCAGTACCAGGGATGAGAGAGATCAACGTGCAGGCTTTGCGGGGGTCCAAGATGAAGCATAATATAGGGGCCACGGTTTAGGGTTTAGGGTTTAGGGCATAATATAGGGGCCTTAAGAAGTAGAATAGGATTTGGGGGGTGTGTTATACTCTGATGTTAATACGGAACCCCCCCAAAAAAGCAGCAAAAGGCAAAAGGCCCCCCCAGAAAACTCTATAAACCTTTAAAACCCGTTGCAGGTTTACGGCTTAGGGGTTTAGGGTTTAGGGTTTAGGGTTTAGGGTAAACGTCTCTTGGGATGTCGCCGAGATACCTCTTCGCCGACCTCACGGAAGTGCAGCTCCAAGCAGATGTGGTCACGCACCTCCGACCGCGAAGAGACGAACCCTATAAACCCTAAACAGTAGCAGAGTAAGTATCCTTCAAACTTAAGCCCTAAACCCTAAACCCTAAACCCCCTAAACCCCTAAACCCTAAACCATTAATGGGGGGTGCTAAACTATAATTCTATATCATCCCTGACCTCTAGTTCCCCTAGGACACGCGACAAGTATAAGCCTGAATGAAGAGCAATTCTCTGCTTTCTGCAGCTTGGCCCCAAAACCCATAATATAGGAGCCTAAACAATTACCTANNGCTCCTGATTATAATTATGGTAGAATGGGCCTCAAACCCCTATTCTAATGATCAAGGCTCCTACATTGATGTTGTTTGGTGCTGCTCGATGCCTTCCTCGTAGTGGTTACCGTTGGACTCATATCAAAATCGAGGTCCCTTTTCGTCTATATACAGCACAGAGCTTTTCCAGGGGGGCACGCTTGAGACTCTAAGTATCGAAATGACCCTAAACCCTAAACCCTAAACCCTAAACCCTAAACCCTAAACCCTAAACCTTACTAAGGGTTTAGGATTCCGGGTTCCGGGCTCTCTAAACGTCTGGATACTTCGGGACCTCAAGACAGATAATAACCGACAGTGACTTTGGAGTATGAGGCGTTCCCAGTGGCAGTAGTCGTCGTCGTAGTAGTAGTAGCCTGTAGCAGCAGCCCCTGCAACTGTAGGTCAGAGTACGTGAGGGGTGCAGATGACTGTCGCGCACTCTTTTCTGCGAGGTACAGCGCAGCCATCGGTGCGTGCGAGAGAGCTTCTCGCTGGCAGCATGCTCTGGCATTGCTGGAAGGTGCACAAAGCCGAAACCCTAAGCCCGAAACCATGAACCCTAAACCCGAAACCCTTATCCCGAAACCCTAATCCCTAAGCCCAAACCCTAATCCCTGACTCCCTCGGCTTTGGGGTCCAGGGTCAAGGAGTCGAGGATTTGGGGTTTAGTAGGTTGTATCCAACATTGTTTGTTAGGGCCATGTAGGTCTCCTTACCATGAATCTGTTATAGTATACCCAACACCCTGCTCTAATTATTAAGGCCATCATACTGAAACTGAAATTCTCATCCTTCTTAATCCGAGGTTCTCACAGGTTAGCGAAGACTTCTGAAGCCGAGATGCCACCGAACCCTACGAATTGAGGGTTTAAGGTTTATGGAGTCCCGTAAAATATAGAAGCCGACATAAACATAACTCCCTATATTATTCCTTAGGTTCCTTATTAGCATGATACTATAAAGAAGCCCCAATCCCATTCTAATTGTTAAGGCCCCTGCAGTAGGCATTCTAGGCCTATTCAGGTCTTGGGATGTCTCGGGCGGTTAGGCTCTTTGTTGATCCGCGCATACGCCGATCAGCAAAGTTTCTGGGCTGCTGGTCCTTGGAAGCCTCTGAAAAATCTTATTCAATAGGAACCTCTTGTCTAAACCCAACCCGAAGGGTCCATGTACCCAAATAGTATATACTTTGGCCTTAAAGTAGTGACTATATATGTACTTTGGGGCCAAAGTGTATACTATTTGGGCACCTGGACCAATAGGGCAAACATGGAAAAATCGTCCTGCGCTGACATTTCATAGTACGGCTGACTACGCTCTCCAAAGGGGTTTTGTCAGGTGTCTCGGGGTTCCAGGCATGTCGTAACATGTAAGCAAGCCCTAAACCCGAAACCGTAATACAAACCTTCTATTGCCTGAAACCCTGAACCCTAAATCCTAAACCCTAAACCCTAACCTTCTATTGCCAGAAATCCAAGGTCTAATCAAAACCTGAAGGAGAAACGAACCCCGCCACCCAAAACCAGTGGCCTCAACAAAGAGTCTCAGCAAATCACATGGGACCTCACAAAGACGCTACAGCTTTCTACCAATACCTCCAACACGCCACAAGAATCGAACCACAAACTCTGAACCTCGTATCCAACCTTCTACAAGCCCTGACCTCTGATCGCTATAGATCCCAAAGCTTAAAACAAGAGACACATTCTGTGAAGGCCTCGAAGTTAGCTCCGTGAAGCCCGATGCCGTGCTCTACGGCGCCGCAGCACCTTCGGTTATACAAGGTTTATGAAAGATCTCTTTACAACGGTGGGCTCCTGTCAGGGTGTTCTTGGAGGTTTTTAAACCCTAAACCCCTAAACCCCTAAATCCTGAACCCCGAAACCCTAAACCCTAGACCCTAAACCCCTAAACCCCCAAACCTCCACACATCCAAGAGCCGACTTAGGGGGTCCGAGAGACGGGGGGAAGGGTTCCCAGAATGCCCAGCGGTTTGGAGATCCGTCATAGGAAGCCCTAAATTCTAAACCCTAAACTCTANNAACCCTATAAGCCCTAAGCCCTACACCACGGAAGCTAGACTGACTTCGGGTTCCCCTGCTTGTGGGTTTGCTGTGGTTTAGGCTTTAGGATTGTCGGGTTTGGGGCTCGAGGGTTTTAGGGTTCAGGGTTTAGGGTTTAGGGTTTAGGGTTTAGGGTTTAGGGTTTAGGGTTTAGGGTTTAGGGTTTAGGGTTTAGGGTGTAGGGTCCCCTCAATGGAACCCTATAATGCCCTAGCCCTGAAGCGTGTAGGTTAATGTTGTGCATGCTGCTTTTGTTTGCTGTGTTGGTTTTTGTTCGTAGGCTTTGTTGTGGATCAGGTGTTTCAAATTTTAGCAGTGTGACCGGTTTTGGGCTGATGGGGCTTAGATCTGGTTTAGGGTTTGGGCTTTAGGGTGGCTTAGATCCGCCATTGGCTGCTGAATCCTGAGGGTCAAGACAGCTCCGCAGATGCTACAGCATGTTGTCTGTATGCCCGGACCTTGATTAAGGACGAAAAGAACCTTAAAAGCAGGGGCCCTATACCCTTATACTATGAATCCCTAGATGGTATATATGAACCCCAAACCCTTTTAGGGCTCTTTTCGTCCTTAAGGATGAGGCCCTTACCCCGCACAGCCCATGCCCACCCTGCTCCGAGCTCGTCTCAAGCCCCCACAAACCGAGACTCGCAAAACACTAGGGTTTAGGATTAAGGGTTAAGGGTTTAGGTTTTAGGGTTTTGGGTTTAGGGTTTAGGGTTAAGGGTTTAGGGTTTAGGATTTAGGGTTTAGGATTTAGGGTTTAGGGTTTAGGGACCCTAACCCAAGCCCCGAGCTAACCCCAAGTTATAGGATCCTTAAGGGAGGGTGGTTCAAGGCAGAAAGGTACAACGAATCCTTAGGGGGCTCCAAGGGAACCTTAGGGAGCAATTAGGAATCATTGGGTTATATACCCCCCTTAGAACCCCCTCCCTTAAACATCCTATAACCAAGGCTCTCACATCCTCCCAAAACACTAAAACTCCGTAGCGAGGTCAGCACTTGCGCCAGAGGCGGTTCCTGGCAAAGCGCCTTGGGCCTCCTTCAGGATCTGGCGCCACGACTGCATTTACATAGCAGTCTAGGGTTTAGGCTTTACTATCATACTCTACTCTACTCCAAACGATAGCATATACTCTCTACTCTATACTATACCCTATATTGAACCCTTCTCCACACTGAGCAGTTGGGTCTGCAAGCTTTAAGCAAGTCTCTCCTCAAGATTCCGCAGAGCACCAAGAGGATCATAAACACACGCGATGTGCTTTCGTTGTGGGTCCCGGGTGCTGGAGTGGACTGGTGTTCCACAGAGTTGTTTTGTTTAACGGCTGACTCTCTAAATGCTAACTGTTGGGGTTTGTAAACCCTAAACCCTAAACCCTAAACCCGAAACAGGTGAGAGTTCATTTTGGTATTCATGTTGGGCATCAAGTTAGGTACCAGCTTCAGGCTTCGACAACACTGTGACATCTTGTGTTAGGGTTTAGGGTTTAGGGTCGGAAACCCCAGCTGAGGCATTTCTCTGAGGGTTCAGGGTTTGGGTTTTACTTAGGACCATGTCTGCGCTAGAATCAGACTCCTACCTTGGGGGCTTGACAGGCTCCGACCCAATGTGAACATGCCACCAGCGGTTTGCCCGTGAACCTGCGTAAACGTAGAGTGTCTTACGTTCAGGCATGGGTCTCGTACGACTGGCTCTGTAGGATGTTGGCTTCGAAAGCCGCAACGACCCTGCACGGGTTGTAAACCCCCAACCCAGAAGCCAAAAACCAACCCTCAATCCTTTCGAACCCCGGAAAATCCGACACCGTAAAGCCTGAACCCTAAACCCCAAACCCCAAACCCCCTAAACCCTCAACCCTACAGCCTAACCCTCAACTCGGAAAATGCACAAAAGCCGGGTTTAGGGTGTTTAGGGTGTTTGGGGTTTAGGGGTTCAAGGGTGTTTAGGGGTTTAGGGTGTTTAGGGGTTTAGGGTGTTCAGGGTTGGGTTGAGAACTATGACCTTCGGAACTATACTTATGTTTGGCCCAGTTGAATGGAGGGCTCCTAGCGAATACTCTTTCTTTCTGTCTTTCTTTCTTTTGTTTGTTCGTTATTTTTTGTTTTTGTCTTAAGTTCGTGCATTTCTCTGTTATATATTTCTTTATCTCTTTGTGTATTTCTTCATTTGTTTCTTTCTCTCGCTCTCTCTCTCTCTCTGTGTATATATATATATATACATATTATACACACACACACACACTTGCTTATTCAACTTATCATTTGGACCCTTGGCCGGGGTGTAATCATTCTTGTCGGTTCAAAATGAGTTTATCAACAAATCTCCCACGTAGCCTACGCCGAGATGCCACCTTGACAACTCATGCACTCAATTCATCCCTCCTTCGTCCTCTCTTTGCCCGAAGCCCTGGACCCTGAACCCCAAACCCTAAACCCTAAACCTCGAACCCGCAACCCCCTCAACCCTAAACGCCGTGGGTACTCGTCGGCCGCTGAAGCTTTCCACCGTCCTAGCACGAGCCCAAGAAGCTCCTAGAGCAGGGATAAAATCACCTCATAACTGGCTCTTTTAGAGGGGGTCTGATGAAACGAAATGGGCTGTATCGGTGCTTTTTCCTTGATCCCTGTAAGGAGGAAAAGCGAGTCTCGAATGACGCTGCTTGGCATCAATCGTGCAGGCATGTGTGCCAATTCCCCCAAGCGACACAATCGCACGGGGGCTGTGGCTGTTAACTATACAGCCCTAACCAACTGTCAACATGTAAATACGAATAATACACTACGGCACTACATATGCTATGGCTCTACTGTATAATGCTGTACAGGTATAGGTAAACTTTAGATCATGCTGACATAGACGATGAATCCGAAGTGGCGGTTGCCGCTGAACTCGCAAGGTGCAAAGGACCCAACCATCAGGTACTTGGTTTTAGGATAACAGCTTTGTGGAAGTATATGATGATTTAGGACTTGGCCCCTTAAAAAGAGAAGGGTCCAGCTTGCTAGGTTGCATTTTTTTACACAGAGCTTCTGCTTGAAATTGTCAGCACGTCTTGGGGTTTAAGATTTTAAGGGTTTCAAGGGTCAGGGTTTAGGGTCCCAGTTGTTCAAGGTCCGTCCACCTGAAGTCCCCCAAAAGTCTACATCATGGGACTCCTTGTTATGGAGATTCTGATGCAATTGCTTTTGCAGCAAGGCTGTGGAAGTGATCGTGTCATGCTGGTACCTAGAAGCAGGTGCTTGGTCCTAGGGTCTTAGAAGCTGTCGTTGCTTTTCTAAGTCAGCAGCCCTAAGCGCTAAACCCCTAAACCCTAAACCCCTAAACCCTAAACTCTAAACCCCTAAACCCCTAAACCCTAAACCCTAAACCCTAAACCCACCGAAACGTTGGTATTTCAACCCATACGGGTATGAGATGCCACAGCAAGGCAGACGAAGGGCTGCCTTGTTTCCCAAAGTGTCTTAGAAGTACCCATATGGGAGTTTCCGAAAATTAGAGGTACCTTATTTCGGGGTCCTTATAATAAGGGGCCTACTATTTAGGTTACTATATTAGGGTCCCCTATTTTCGGAAACTCCCATATAGTAGAGCGCAGGGTTTCTAGAATAGGTATTACTATTACGGTCCCAAGGTCCTAATAACAAGTACCTATATAGTAGTAGAACGTAGGGGTTCTATAATGGGTATTGAAATTTATGGTTTGGGCAAGCATCCCCCATATACGAACTTAGGGCCCTTTGGGTTTGTGCTCCTTTAAACTTCAGCTTCGGCTTCGCGGTTTCGAGGCTAACGGTTTAGGGATTTAGGGTTTGAGAGTTGAGGCTGAATATAGGGGCCCACACAATTACCAATGCTATTATTTTTCCGGGGGGGGGGGGGGGGGG